AAAAAAGCAAATCACAGTAAAATGGATATGAAATGATCCTATTATATAAAAAACAAACACAAAAACCTTGCTGTTTAGGCAGAAGCACAGGAGAAGGATGTACCAACTGTTAGCAGTGTCAGCCCTAGGAAGGAGACCATTTACACCACATTCTTCTGTATCCTCCCCTGAACCTTATACTGAGAGCAACAAGAAGGTCGTCAATAAGATTCCTCAATTATTTGTGCAAATGGAAAATGAAAGTGATGACATGAAGTAATATTATGGCATGAGCAGAAATCTACACATCAGAAAGTCAATTTAGGTGTGTTTATTTAAAAAAATGAAAGTTAAAAATAAGAAAAAGAAACTAGCAGGCATAGTGCCTGAAAGTAAAAAGTGGTTGACTCTGGATAACGGGATTATAGGTTGTCTTTCCTTAATTATTTCTATTTCTCTGTACTTTCTAGATTTGCTACAAAGATTGCATATTATTTTGAGAAAAAGGCAGAAATAAAGTAAGAAGCAGGAAGTCGGAGTCTCATGGGAACCTGCTACCGAATCCAGAGACAGCCCGGGTCCTAGGAGGCAGGATGACCCAGCAGCCCCCAGCACATACCTGCTGGGGGCCAGTTGTGGTAAAGAAAACATCTCATCCCAGGCCTATTGCCAAGGAAGGGGGTGGGTGGAGGACAGCAGAGCTGCCTGTAGTCTGTAGCCCTGCAAAGGGGATTGCAAGGGGGTGCTCTCACCATAGGCATGGGAGAGACAAGCTCTCTTGCTCCTTTTATCACCCCCATGTGAGTATTTCTCACTCAGGTCATATTAGTATAGCATGTGTAGCATCCCCCTGCCTAGCGCAGGGCTGGAGTGATGTGGAGAGGGAGGAGCAGGTGGATGGATACTAATGTAACAAAACACAGTGATAAGAGCACATGACTGACAATGCACAGTCTGACGCTGCTCAGGATGCCACAGAAACCAAAGGCATGATGAATTAATGGCTATCAGTGTCCTGCTGTCACATCCTTTTCAGACACTATCCTCATTCTCTGTGGGATCTGGTGCTGCAGCCTCCCACATCCATGCCAGGCCCCACACCGAAGGGCAGATGGACAACAAAGGGGAAAGTGTGGAGGGGCGGCTCCCAAGGCTGTGGGGCCCAGGCCTTGTCCAGGTGTGTGAGACATCAGTGGACATGTCAGAGCTTACTGCTCACACATGAGGCAACCTACTTGTAAATCTCTGTCCCTCCTTCCCCAACTCCCTCATTGTGACCTGGGGCAGGACTGGGGCTAATGGAAGTGGAAGGTGTAACTGTCCTTATTTGTTACAATGAAGACTCAGGCATCAGATGTAGAGGCTGCTGAAGAATCTGTGTGGGGCTTCTGAAGAGCGCCAGCTGGGAGGGTGGTGGAAGGGAAGGAAGATGAAAAGGAGAGGGGAGAGGCTAAGAAGGGATGTAAGGAAAACTGGGAAAGAGAAAAAGGAAGCAGGAGGCCAATGGAGGTGTTTGATGACCTGCCACAACCAAGGCACCTGCCTTTCCTGTCATGAACCTGGGGGTGAGGCTCCCAGGTACCCCTTAAACGTTCCAGGCAGAGAAACGAGTCGGGACTTGCCTCTGGAGCCTACTGAGGCAGGAGACAAGAAGCACCTACCTGTGCAGGCCAGGAAGAAAGCTGACAACCTCCTCCTGGTCTTTCAAAGCATGACCAGGTAAGAAACTAAAAAGGAGCGCCTACTCCGTGCACAGAAATAACACCGCAAGGAAGATGGGGCTCTCCTTGGGAGTCAGAGTCAGGAATGCTAATTTTCATCTCTAAACTTTCCTATAAAAGCCCTCAGCAAAATATACATGAGTTCTTTTGTAATTAGCAAAAAAGCCATGAAAAATAATTTCAGCTTTTTAGTTTGAATCCCATGATTTCAGTCCATTGGGATCTTTTAACATCTTAAAGTAATTGTTCAATACTTTGGCTAGCTATCCCTTTTCCAATTCTAGATCTTAAAAATTTTAAGTATGCCTTGTTTTTTATAGTTTCAACAAAATTGCAAATACCACCCTCTAGACAGACCAGGCCAGACTCACAAGTCATAAAGCACAAGGGGAATGTGCCCCCACAGGTGGTCCCATCCTGCCAGGTTCCTCCTATCACAAGGAGGCAAAAAAAAAAAAGTCACACCAATTCAACAATCTAGTGATCCCATCCCAAGAAACAAACCAAGCCTCTCTGGCAATCCTTAGTAGAAGCCATGGTCGCCTACGTTGACAGATCTCAACTTGCTTTTCTAAGCCTGCAAAATGGTCTATTTCTGAACCATTCTTGGTCTGGGACTGACACCTGTACAACAGATAGATGGCGTTGTTTCCAGAAAAAACCTTTTCTGAATTTGGTATACCAGGGACAACACTGCCAGTCTCTGGTCTTTTGACATTTGTCAGGTTCCTCAAACACCACAGAAGTGGTTTCCTGATCACTGTGGGGCTCTGGAGAACCCGGGCCTGAGACACAGCCCTCTGCTCTTAGCTCACCCCGCCTGAGCCCCGGATTCCCTCATATTGTGTTTGTCCACCCTTTCCCAGGCCAATGCTCCTAGACAAAGAAGAGCTGTGTGAGAGATTTCTTGCTGCAGAGCCATTCCCATCTAACGGGGACTCTAACAGGCATTCGTTTCACCTCCCGCTTTGCCCTGATTATTCTTACTCTGCCAGTCCAGCAGAAATAAACCCATACGGCACACACATGCAGACCTCCCACTAGAGAATGCAATGTCCCTAACAGGCAGATACCCACCAATAGAATCCTTGGATATCTCTACTCACCAAGTTTGAAATCAGGGCCCCCACAATGGGGCTCTACACAGAGCAGGGTGGCGCTCATAATATTTACTGGTAACAATGACTGATGGGGAAAACAAATGGTCTATTTCTAAACCAATCTCTCCTTGGTCTGGGACTGACACCTGCACAACAGATAGATAGAAACCAGATGCCATCTGGTTTCTAGTTCCCATCCCCTAATTTAGCTCTAGAACTCATTTTCCCATTCAGTAAGCCTTACTCTACACCCCATAAGTGACTTGACTCAGTAATGAGTGAGACCACTGAGGTTCATAAGGTCAGAAAGCAGAGAAAGGAGGGTCCCTATGGCTCAGCCCTTGGGCCCCAGGTCCCGCAAGCATCAATTATTACAATGTACAGCTCACCACAAAAAAGAACACAGATTAAAAAAAAAATGTCTAGTTTGCAACGAGAGTTCTCAGAAAGGGCAGAAAGGGCTTAACAATTATTAAACAACCCTATCTATCTGGTACTTATTGTTTTTGGATAAATTCCAGGCTTCATCAAAGGGGACATATACTCTTGCCTTCATGCTGTGATGCACAAGCCACAGACCACTGCTCAAACCTCTGCGCTTTCCTGGGGGCTGGGCAGGCTCCAGGAAAGGATCAGCACACAGGGGTGAAGGAAGCTAGTGTCTGCCTTTACTGCAGAGAAAGAGATGCAGGCAGTGTGATTTCAGCTCTAGATTCAACGTAATAACTTCCTGCAAGACTTGCTTCAATCAGCAACTCTGAGGCTGGCCAGGAGAGCACATTCAGCTAGAGCACTGCAGTGCTGCCTGTCAGGTGATTTTTCAAGTACCTTCAAGCACAGGCAGGGACACTCTCCTGAGGCCCTATCATTGCTCTTACTCAGGAGAGTCTTCGAAACTTTCTGTTTTGGCCAGTTTTTGAGATTCAGAAGAAGAGCCAAAGGGAATACTTTTCCTTTGAATTCTCTTAAGAATTTGGTACTTATAAGAAAGGAGTCAGGGAAATCCCCCGCAGTGGTCTGCTTCTGAACATTTCCCGACTCCCAGAACCAGTCCCCTGTCACTGGAGGGGAGGCCAAAGGCAGGCAGACAGAGGTCGGCAGTACTGAACTCACAGAATAGTGAACTATTTGTACCATTTCTCTGAGCAACAGTCTCCTTATCTGTAAAATGGGGCTAATCATATTCATTTTTCAGCACTGTGGGGAAGATGAAAGGAGATGACCTTGCAGGAAGCCACTTTGTCACCATAGGGTGATAAGCAGCTGTTAGCATAAGCTTCCCTATGGCTAAGGCAGCTGACAATGTGTTCTCATCACTGACTGTGCCTCTGTGTGCTGGACTAACTATCCTCATGCACTTGATCCTAGCTGTTATTTCTTGTGTATTTTACTCTTCCACAATCTCTTACCTGTCATTACTGGACCAAAGAGCTGGGCAGGAAGTTATGAGAGAATCAAGCCCCCCTACAGGTCCCTCTCTCCACCCATTGGGAAGGGATGGTGTACTCTTACTGAGAGCTGCTCCCAAGAACTCTGGGGTTGTCACCTCCTTGTTTTCACACCATCCTTACTCACCTTTCCAGGAGCAGCCTTCTCCCTCTTGGAATGGGGAGGACGCTAGTCATAAAAAGTCCTGAGCTACGGGCTTTCCAGCCATTACTGCAAACACTAATTTACAGCATTTGTACATTGTCCTTCCTTATCCACTGCAGTCTCCAGGCTGTGATGGATACCAGGGAAAACAGCGAAGGCATATGAGGTGCCAGGGGCCTGAAGTTCCAGCCCCGGCTTCCCTGTGCCTTCTCAGCTGCCGGCCCTCTTGAGGCTCCCTCTTGAGGCTCCTCACTTGTAAGATGAGGGTGATTACTATTATAGTAATTGCTAAGGGCCCTATAAGTCCTAATTTCTTCAATTTTGGGAAAGCCATTTGCATTTCCTAATTCATGCTGACTTGGAGGACACTCATGTCCACCAGGTTATCTGAGGACACAAGGCCTGGTTAGGACTTCTGTGCTGTTCAGATGGTAATGCAGAGTGGCTGTGTGCACAGTGAGGAGGGGACCTGGCCTGGCACCAGTGCATCCCTGGCATAGAGGAGGTGCCCAACAAGGAAGTGCTTGTGGACTCACGTTCCAGAGGAGCGTGCCTCCTAGACTGAGGGAGGAGAGAATGTGGTGGGGAAGGGCACGGTTCCACTCACATGGGGCGTGGAACATGACGAGGACAGAGGAGTGTTCCTTCACAAACTGGTCAAAGTCTTCATCGGTCAGGTGATAAACGGAGCCGCCCTCATCTGCCCAGGGAGTCTCGGGGACCTGGGGCTGTGGCGGCTGCGGACTGGAAGACCAAAAACAGGCAGAGCTCAGAGCAAGCCCCGGGGCCTAAGCAGCCCTTACAAATCCAGCCCCCGGACACAAAATCCCCAGTGGCTCCTGCTCCAAGAGCTTCTCAGAAACCCTCACCACCGCCCCACCTCCCACCCCCAGAGAAGGGGTAGGTGGCATGGCCCTGCCCCCTCCACCGTCCCCTCAAAACCCCAGAAGTGCTTAGCTGATATCCTATTATAAATAGTGGCTTTTAGCTGTAACTCTCCAGGCAGCTCAAGAAACCTCACTTCCTCCCAGGAATCGGGGGGTTTGTTAGCGTCTCAAGCTCTTTCAAATTTTCGGCAAACTGGCAAGAATAAATAGCAACAGCCAAGAATGACCTTTGGAAAAGCTCAGTTGTGTTTAGCATTGCCCCACAGGGCAGGGAGAGGGAGAGGGAGTAATAGAGAGGTGGGGGTATGCACGTGGGGATGAGGCGGAAAGGGTGTCTGAGCAATAACAAAACTTGAGGGGAGGGGCTGGGGGCTGGAGAGGGGGGGTGTCACATGGGAGGTGCAGAGGATAATGGTCGCAGTGAGGACGACTGGAGCCAAGGGAAAGGATGGTGTCTACACCACTTTACTAGTCCTTCTGGGAGACCAGGGACAACTTTTTCTAGCTCTCCCAGAGGCAGAGTGCTGCAGCACAGAGTTGAGCTTGGAGGTCAATTTAAATCTCAACTCTACTACCCAAACCTGCAAAACCTCAGGATGCTGCCTAGCCTCCCTGGAGCCTGCTTCCACCGGGGATTCCTAGGTACTGATAGCTATGTTGTTGACTATTATGAGGGGGCAGGATCACAAGTGCCTGCTCTTGCTCCAAAGATGAGGACAAGACTGCTTGTGACATACACTGCCTGTGGCTTTAACTGCCACAAGCACCTTTGCTAAAGCACCTTAACTGCTTTGAAAAAAATCCTTTTGGGGACTTCCCCTGGTGGCGCAGTGGTTGAGCACTGGGCTGCGAAACTGCCCACAGCCTCTGCAGCGCCGATTCGATCCCCGGCCCTGGCAAGGGTCCCACATGGTGCGCAGACCTCTCCTGCTGCACCCGCTGCTCCCCTCAGCAATGTATTTCAGTCAGTCTGCCTGTTCTGCTCTGGTGAATTCTCTCACCCTCCCGCACTTCTGACTGTGCCCAGTGCTTGTATAAATAAATAAATCAATCTTTAAAAAAAAAAATCCTTTTGGATGACAATGTGAAAGGACAACCATTGTTTCCTGTCCTTGAGAACCTACTACAGAAAAAGGTAGAATTTTCAGCAGCCAGAGCTGAGGTTTCATGAAAGCCATGTGGCCAACACAATGGAGTCTGCCACCCCTCCCCCAGGCAGGACCTGGCTTGGACATCACCCTCAGCAGTCTCTGTGGCTTCTGAGTGACCCTGCTGGCAGCCTCAGACACCCTGGTTCCAAGTAATGGGAAGAGGCAGAGAAAGGGCAAACCACTCTCATCCCACATACATCTAACATCAGACAGGGCTGGTGGTAAAATCAAGTTTTGGAATGAGTCACCAGCCAACACCATGAAACCCAGGTTCCTATAATTGGATTCAAAACACCTACCCTCAACACACAACCAAGTCCACTTCAGGGAATTTATTTTACAATACACCTGGCACACATCAAAATTACGTGCATTTGAAGATATTCACTATAGATAATTTGTCATACCCAAGACTGGTAACAACCCAGAGTTTGTTGATAGGAGCTGGCTAGGTATACTGCAGCCCATCCATACTACAGAGGGCTGAGCACAGTGAAGAAGAACAAGGAATGTCCCCACAACCAATGTGGACACACTGCTGGATATAAGCAATAGTCCATAATGTGCTAACTTTCACATAGGAAAATATAAAAAAATTTATTCACATTTGCTTGTATCTGAATAAAGAAACTAAGCAAAGTTGTTACCTCCAGGAGGGTGGGAGGGAGAAAAGGATGGAGAATACAGATAGAAGCAAACCTTTTCAGTGTCTGATTTTCAAGTATCTTTAATTTTTTTTAATTATGTGAATAAAATGTACTGAAGAATTAAATTAATTTTTTAAAATCCAGTAAGAACACACACACACAGAATGGAGAAACTGTGACTCAGCAGTGGCAGAACCATATCAAAGCACCTGAGAAACTTCTAGTTAAATATGGAAGAGAACATACTCCAAAACTACTAAAATAATACAGGAGAGAAGAAAAAGAGTATGAATCCACAAGAGCAAAAAGAACAGAAAAGAAGACACAGTGAAGATGGAAAAAGAGGTCAGTGTAATATTAGAAGCAAAACAGGACAGACCTGAAGACCGGGCACCAGCAGGGGCAGGGCCTGAGAACCACTCTGATCTAAAAGACAAAGGCTCCAACCTGGAAACACCAGCATCTTGAAGCTGGGCTGGGGCCTGGGCTGAAAACCAGAGGCACAGTGATGGGATAGCAGCAGGGCTTTGTGTCTCTCTCGCTGGCTGCCAGGCCACCACCCTCTCTGACATAGGAGACAATAGGAAGTTCACTTTCTCTAGGAGGGGCTGTGGAGCTGGCATGGGGATAACAGGCTTTACTGGAAAGAGGGGGACTGAATAGAAATCTGAGGCACAAATACTACTACTGAATTATGCTTTTTGTTGTTTGTCTCTCTGTAGACTAAGGCTCCCTCTTATCTCTGCGCCTTCTGCACCTAATACACAGCAGATACCCAATAAATACTTTTTGTATAAATGACGAAATGAAAGCAGAATGGTTGAAGGAATTAGAGGAGTTCCAGACATGGGGACCATGCTAGCTATCTTTAAATATTTCAGAATACACTGGGAGGAGAAATTAAGTTTTATTTTCCATGTCCCTAAAGAGGAGAACACCAACAAGTAGAACCATCAAAGAAAGAAACCTCTGCTCAATAGAAGTTAAGAATGTTCTATCTGTACCAGAGAGAGGGAAAGAGTCAAACCGTGAGTCAGAAGTCCCAGGTTTGAATCCTGTATCCTCCACTTAACCAGCTTTAGGGGCTTTTAGACACTCAAATTGACTGAAACATCTACAGGACAGTATATTTATAGGCCTTTCTTTATCTACCACTCAGGTACATTTAGACAGATGATGGATGTGAGATATTTTGTAAATTTATAAAGCACTACCCAAATGTTCCTATATATCATCCATAACCTAAATCTTAAGAATTATTCAAATATGAGTGGGTGACCTCACAATGAGTCAAGGCCATGTCCTCTCTGAGGTCTTTAAGTGGGACTTGAGGAAACCCCATATACTCCGGAGGAAATGCAAACACCAACAGGGAACTGCTAGGGCAGACATGCTGACTCATATCCCTTTCCAACCCTGCCCTCTACTTCAGGGCTCTCCAGAACTGGGAAGTGGGCACAAATTCCTCATCCAAGGTAGGTACATATGCCACAGATGCAACCAGAAGCATGATGAGTTAGGAAAGCTTTGCTTTTGCTTTCAGCTCACTTCTAGTTGGTGTAAAAACACACAGGTGGGAATGAGTAGCTAGGCCAAAATGGATCGCCACATATGTATACTCTACCTGCCAACCCCAAGGCAGTGGCATGAAATCTACAGCGAGGGAAGGAGAAATGCAGGCTTAAGGGGCACATCCACCATGGTCAAGACATCTGCCCCAGAGGCCTGGGACACTACAACACCAGAGTCTCCTGTCCTGCCCCACACCGTGCCCAGTCACCAGCCGCTTGTCAAGAGAGTGGGATCCAGGTTCTTCCCTCCAGGGCTTCTGAAGGCCATCCAGAGGATTACCAAGGCTGGATCCACCCTCAACCTTTCCACACTAGCCACACACAAACAGTGAGCAGACAACAGAGAGGCCCAGGGGAAAAGTCGAGGGAGGCAAAAGCTGAGATCACTGCTACCCTCCCCTCCACCCCAGATTTGGGGGAAAACTGGTAAAGACTTAACACACCTGGCACAGGGGAAAAAAAAAAAACCCACATGCAGAGCTGGATGTTTGTAGGGAGGAAAATCTGGATGGAAAGTCACCAAAATATCACCAAACCTTATCTTTGGCTAGTGAAGAAAGCTTTTCTTTTTGTTTAACTACATTTTAAAGTGCTGTTGTTTTTATTTATTTATTTTTTATTTATTTATTTTTTGTGTGGGACCCTCACCAGCGGCCGGGGAACGAACCGGCGCTGCAGAGGCTGCGGGCAGCCTCGCCACCCAGCGCTCAACCGCTGCGCCACCAGGGGAGGCCCTAAAGTGTTGTTGTTTTTAAATATAACAACACATCTCACTTGAACAGGCTTAAAATGAGAAGAGAGTTTTAAAAAATAAAACCAATTGGCAGCACAGGGACATCAACATCAGGAGCTCTTACTGAGGTGTGAGATGAGGGGACTTACTGGGGATCCTGTGGAGGCTGCCTTCCTGTGCGCTGAGCTGGAAGAGTGGGTCATGTCTTCCAAGAAGTTGCCCCCAATGTGTTCTCTGGAGGCCAGGGATGGGGGCAGCTCAGGGAGACCCAGATGGTCCCTCCCTTTACCTGTAATGATCCCCTCCCGCAACCCTCACAGTCCCCTAGTTAACCAGAAGCTGTTAACAAGGTTTCCTTCCCACATGAGGTGAGGAAAGGGAGAAGGGCAGACGAGGGGTGCTGGGAGGCACCAGCCCAGGACAGAGGTGGGGAGGCAGCCCTGGGTTCAGGCAGGTGGATAAGGCAGAGCGGAGCTGGTGCAGGAGCTGGGTGAGGAATGGAGTGGCGGACTCCAGTGGGAGATAACAAGCCATCTCAAACTCCACGGATGTGCTCCCCTGGTCTAAGGTTATCAAGCAATTGCAAACACTTTTCAAAAAAAACCAACCTCATCTTTCCAACAAGATATGAGGGTGTTTTGAAATCAGGAAAGGTTAGAGAAGGGGGAGGGAAGCAGACAGATTTTATGCTCTGGTGACAAATGAGATTGCTATTTGCTGAAGCCTTCTCCCAAAGCAGAGTGAGATATGTCTGGCTGGAGAAGAAGATATGCTTATTATCAAATGAAAAAGGAAACAAGAAAGCGAAAGTCCAGGTTAAGACAATGAATGCATGATAATGGGGAGCTGCCTTCCCAAGCAGGGGCTGGAAATGAGGGAAGACATGGGGACAGAGATGTGAAATGCTCCCAAGAAATGAAAGATGCTATGCACACATGGTGCTGTCATCGGGTTCTCTCTCCCGGGTATCTGGGAACCAACAGAACAGACTGAGAATTTTAAACATTTCTGGGTTTGTTTGGGTTTTTGTTTTTTTTTTTTTTTGGGTACAAAATTCATCTCCTTTCTCATTCTGAAAACACACATTTTCAACATCCATCTCTTTAGATAACTAGTTCTTTACTCTGTGCTCCTCAGATAATGATGTCAGTAAATATCCATTGTGCTGGAAACTGGAGGAAGAAGAAGGGACTCTGACAAGAACTTAGGGGAGTAGAACTGCATCATGTGAGGCCACTGCCCAGGGTCAACTATGGCCCTGCTTCAGGCCAACTGTAGGAGCCTGGACAAGCCACTTCATCACTGTGCTTGTCTACCTCATTCGTTAGATAAGGGTAATCACGTTACCTTCCCTCAGAGCTATGCTGAGGATCACAAGAGAATCTGCCAAAGTGCTCAGAACGGTGTCAGTCGCAAAACAGCCCAAAATATGTTAGCTATTATTATTCCAAGAACCATACACAAATAACCACATTCTGACAGTGACTGGTAAGTGACAAACTCACAACAAGCAAAGCACAAATCGAGCAAGTGAGTGCTCAGCAGGAATGGCCAGGGCTGGGGGACAGTCTCCACATCCAACATTGCAGTTAGGTCTGCTCAACCCACCAAAGTCACAGCCTAGACTGGTGGGGGGATCCCAGGTGAGGGAGTGGTAGCAATGGGATAGGGCTTGGGTCATGAGGCCCTCATACATTACAAAGCATCACAAGGCACCCTGAAGCAGCCTCTGTGAGGTGTGCGTGGTGAATGGTAAAGTGCCCTGCAAATCTCAGGCACTAGAATTTCTTGGTAGTTTCACAGCACCTAATATAGTGTCATGTTTAAAATAAGTACTCAATTGACAATTCTATTTTCAGAGACCTGTAGTGGAACTACTCTTAAGCCTGACATCCTGGGTAAGATATATCTTTGTCCATCAGATAGACAATGAGGAGGAAAAGACTATTTGAAATGCAGGAAGATTTCAGAAAGCCCCTGACTGTTAGTGAGAACTGATGGGCAGAGGTGGCCCTTCCCCTACTCTGGCATGGGGGAGAGGGTGTAGGAGAAAGGCCTTCCACCTAACATGCCAGACAGGGTCTGTTCACCAAATGCAGCCTAAACTCAGATGCTCCCACCCTGAACTGGACTTGACACAGAAATAGCTGTGCTGGCAGCACAACAAGCCCCAATCCCCAGCCAGACCCCTGTGACCCAGAGACCATCCCAGGGCGCCAGGTGCCTCCCCCTCTGGACCATGTTCCCAAGGCAAAGGTCCCACTTACTTCTTCAGCCACTCCACAATGTCCTCGGCTGTGGACCCATAGTTATCATATTGGAACAGAAACCGTCCTTTCCTGCGAAATGTGGAGAGAAAAAGTGGGCTCAGTCAGGGATGCAAATGCCATCCAGGAGGCAGAAGGGAAGCAGGGGACTTACTCGAAATAGCAGATGGTGGGGTAGCCACGCACGTTGTATTCCTCCTTGATGTTTTCAAATTCTGAGGGGTAGATGTTCATCCCGGCGAGCACCTGGGAAGGGAGAACAGATCTGTGCACCTACACCTCATCTACACGCTGCCGGTGCAGCCCCTGGCAGGCTGAGTCACTGGGACTGACAACCCAGAGCTCCTAAGAGGCAGGCGTCTGGGCCCAGAGCGGCCCTCCACTCGTGTTCCCTCTTACCAGCCCTGCGTGAAGAACAATCCCAGAACAAAAGCAAAGTTCTCAGAGCTGAAAAAGAAACCTGACCTTGCTACCAAGTTCAAACCAGACCTAGAATGAGACCAGTGCCAACAAGGTATATTATGCCTTTGCTCTGCTCATATCAACCCATGTTCTGCTTGTGCCCTGCTTCTGCCACTCCACAATGTTCTTCCAGGATGGCTTCTTCATGGCCTTAGTCTGCCCACCATCGTGTATGACATTCTCAGATCTCACAGCTCACATGTGGCCAAGGAAAATGTGGGACCTCGTGACAATCCACTGACCTCATTCTCCTCCCTCTAGACCTCACCAGGCTGCACCAACTCTTTCCGGTTTGTGACCATCATCTATAGCCTACCCAGTGAGCTTGCTTGATTCAGAAGACAGCTTCCATTTAGGAGTTAGGTGACCTTGAGCAAGTCATGTATTCTGAGAGGGTCCTTGCTTGTAGGGTGTGGGTAATGAGACTATCACAGAGCTCTTAGGAGGACTAAAGGAGATGAACCACATCATCTTGCAAAACTGATGCTTAATAACTGTCAAATTTTCCATTTCCTACACAATTTTCTTTTCTTTTCTCTTTTTTTTTTTGGATTGGTGAGTTTTTTTTTAATAATTTTTTTTTAAATTTTTTGTATCATTGTTCATTTTTAAACAATATTCGCTTTCCCACTCAGGTTCTTACCCAATTTTCCTGGCGATGCCTAAGTCCCCTCCACCCCTAAAGGCATCTAAACATGTCTTTCCAGCTGTTTTATGAATCTAGCTTCAATGCCTGGCACAGAGCAGGTAAACAATAAACACTTACTAAACACTGATTTTTTTCCTCCAGCCCATTTGGGAATGCTTCAGGGAATACAGAGAGAATAAGCCTGAAGTAGAATGTACAAGAAGCTCTGAAACTCTCTAAAATCCACTCTATTTATTTCCCCAGACCAATTCAGCAGCCTGTTCTAGTAATATTTGTCTGCTTTTAAGTTCTTTTTTTTAACATCTAATTGATCTCCTAGTGTCAGTATTGTCACCCCAAAATTAATCTTCCACATCTTCCTCCTTCATGACGTCACCTCCCTGAACAAAACCTCTCAGTTGTATTAAATATGAACTGAAGTCTAACTCCACACTCAAAGACCTATCTCACATTTGACTTTATTTTTCGCAAAACCCTTAATTGTACACTTGTTAGTGTCTAGGTTTTTATTCTCCTAGCAATGAGATAATTTGCGATTTCTGCAAGGGAGGAAGCTGGCCTATTTGCTATCTAAGGCACCTTGCAGACAGATAATACACCACACAGGTATGGAGCCTGGGCACAGGGGTTAGAAACTGGATTACAAACTGACTCCCTACTAAGGAGATGCATTCTCCCGGAACAAGTCACAGATGCCTCTGTTTTTGGTTTCATCTGCAGTTGTGCCATGTGGTTGCTAGGAAGTTTTAATGAAGGAATACAAAGTCTCTATAACACTCAAAATATGGTAGCCGTTTTTATCAATGGGAAGAGACTGTAATACTGCTCATAGCTCCTGACACGTGCCGTGCTTTGAGGGCCTGAGTGCCCTCTGATTCTTGCTCAGGAGGCCCAGTCCTCACTTCTTGGCTACCACCAAAGTCTCATCCATCCTTTAAGGAAAAGAAAATCATGCCTCACTGAGCTGCCTTTTCAAACCACTTTGGCTTATGGTGAGTCTGATTAATTCTCTGAGTTTTTGTAGCAGTTTTGAATCACTTTGGGGACATTTACTCAATAATGAGACAAATATTTGTTGAAAAAAGATGTACAGAGACATTTTGTAGTTTGTGAAGCTGACTGAGGCAAAACTGGTCCCACTCTAAGGGGTAGTTAGGGCCACAACACCTGACGCTGAGCCACGTGTGCCTGACCCACTCTGCCGGCACCACGAGCTCTTCCTCGTGTGCAGTCTCTCCACCAGAATGATCTTGGGAGCTTCATGAAGTGGGTAGCATGTGAGCAAGCGTGCAGAGGAGGCTGAGATTTCTACAGACATTCCAGGGAGGGCAAAAGGGAGGCAAGATAAGATGTGGCCAAAGAAATGGGGAACATTTTAATTTAACTGGACTTCAGGACACACAGACAGGAGTAGCAAGAGAGGACACAGGGAGTTCACTGAGGTCACCCTGGTAAAGACCTTAATGCCTGAGAACCAGGCAAAGGTACTGGATTTTATTTTGGAAGGCTTATATTCTGGGCAAGTGGGAAGGGGGCGAGGGGAGAGGAGGCCAGATCAAGACGCCAAGCAAGCAGTTTGACACGTGGTCCTGGCGCCTAAGTGGAGGACTCAGGCTTCATGAAACTGCATTTGTTGAAACTGTGGACATCAATAAAAATCATTGAGGGACATAGCATGACAAGACAAAGAAAGCCCAATACCAGGCTCTTACTCCAAGGTGTTCAGAAGACAGAAGAAAGGGTGGGAAGCAGAATCTTGGCAGTACCTCCACCTGGTGGGTGGGAGGAATAGTAAATGCAGAGCAGTGAGGAAGGGTCAATCAATTATCAGTATCTGTAAAGGGCTCTGTAGGTGACAAGCTATTTCCATGCACCACCCATTGCTCTTCACCATAGTCCAGTGCAGTGGCATGCAGTTGGCGTTATCATTCCCATTCCACAAATGGGAAACCAGAGGCTCCAAGGTTAGAAAGCCTGCCCAAGACATCCCAGCCAATTAGTGAAGCCAGAAGCAGAGCCTGGTGATCTGCACAAATCTGTCACCTTGACCGACCCAGTGTTTACACCCGGATGGCCAAGGTTAACAAAGGCCTGGGCAAAGCTCAAAGGCTCAGCACAGACATCAATAACTGGCAAGGCTGGGGGAGGAGGCAGATGAGAACAGGGCTGGTTCTGATGGCTGCTCTGAGACAGGGAGCAGCAGTGACTGCTGATGAGGATGTCAATTATCAGGAGTAGATGGGACAGACACCAGTGATTAACTGGACATAAGGACAGCAAAAGAGGCAAATCTGAGTCTGGAAAATGGCAAAGGCTGTGCATCGTTGACCTGGCCTGGCTTCTATATTAATGGCATCCTAAGGTAGAATACCTCCCAAGAACTCTATAAAAGATTTCTGACCCCTGCCACAAACATGCCAGCCAGAAAGGGCTCAAAGATGACAAAGATGAGAGGAGACAGGAAACACTAATCCAGTTGATTTCAGCAGTGGGGTGGGGATGAACTTTGATTCCTGGGGACTGGCAGTCCCTTTCTGGCCTGTATGTGAGGACAGAAAGGTATTCCTTCCTCTGACCACCTTCTTTCTGGGGAGCCCTGGCCTCCAGAGGCCACCTGAAGTGGATACTTTCAGTGACTAGGACCCTGCCCTTTTACGTATCTAGGAAAGGGTGAGAACTTTCAAAAAATACTTTCCTAAGAAACTAAGGGAAAAACAACAATACATACCCCAAGCAAGAAAACACAGAGGCAAGGAAATGGATGAGTTCACACAATACAGATGCCTTTGGTCATCTGTGACTAACACCTGGCCATAGTTAGGATTGCCAAGCAAGGCTCTCTAGGCACAGACAAGCCCACTGACTTTTCTGTGATGCCATCTGGGGAAAGGAGGGTCACCTCTGATGTATCTTGACCTGGGTCCAGGCAGAAGAAGCAGGTACTTTTTTTCCTTCCTTTTTTTAGAAACAGTTATTCTTAACACAAGTAATTTTCAGGGCTCACCTTGCAAAAAAGCCTGGTGTGAACCCACGGCCACAAATGTCCTTCTGACTTTGCCTCTGTCCTTAGTAACTTATGCTCTAAATTCCTTTAAAAATGGGATTATCACTTTTAATGCAAATGTAGAGGTTAAAATAACATATACTCAGGAGTGGTATACCATTCATTCATTCACCAGCACTTACTGGATGTCTCCTATGTGCTAAAGCCTGCGTGCTGTACTGAAGAAACAGGCATGCGTCAAACAGCCCTTCAAAAAGCTTGCCTTTCAGGGTCTCCCTGGTGGCACAGGCGGTTGAACGCCATGCTGTGAAGCTGTCCACAGCCTCTGCAGCGCTGGTTCAATCCCAGCCGGCCGGCGAAGGTCCTACATGGAGTGGCAGACCTCTCCTGTCTTGCCCGCTGCTCCCTTCAGCAGTGTATTTCAGTCCTTCTGCCTGTTCTGTTCCCCGCTCTGTCTCTGGTGAATTCTCTCACCCTCCTGCGATTCTGGCCTGTACCCCAGTTCTTGTATAAATAAAAATCTTGGGGAAAAAAGGGAGCTTGCCTTTCAGCGAGAAAAATCAAATTATGCCCTTTCTGCCTCCGCTGCTGCAATGGCACCCGTGAAAAAACTTGTGGCGAAGGGGGGCAAAAAAAAGAGTTCACCCTTGACTGCACCCACCCCATAGAAGATGTAATCAGGGATGCTGCCAACTCTGAGCAGTTTCTTCAGGAGTGAATCACAGTGAACGGGAAGGCCGGGAATCTTGGTAGAGGGGCCATGACCATTGAACGGAGCAAGAGCAAGATCACTGTAACTTCTGAGGTGCCTTTTTCCAAAAGGTATTTGAAATATCTCACCAAAAAATATGTGAAGAAGAACAATCTACGTGACTGGCTGCACGTAGTTGCTAACAGCAAAGAGAATTACGAATTACGTTGCTTCCAGATTAACCAGGATGAAGAGGAGGAGGAAGATGAGGATTAAAGCTCATTTACCTGGAATATTTTATATGAGTTCTTGAATAAAACTTGGGAACCAAAAAAAAAAAAAGAAAAGAAAAGAAAAATCAAATCATAATTAGTGTCAACTGATGAACCAAGTACACTAGAATAAATGCAAGATGGGTGGACCTGGTCACATGGCAGGGACAAGCTCTGTGGAGGGCAGGAGGGGCCGGGAGTTTGGCAGATGCAGCACTGGCCAAGAGTCTTCCAGAATGTGCATGTGAAGCACCAAATTCAGGTCTGCCTTGATGGGACCAGCCAAGGTAATTGTCACCAATGGGCATTGAGGATAAACTCCGTGGCACAAGAATTGGGAGGTTGAGCCAGCAGAGTAGTTTTCTAAGTGTACACGGGGGCGTGCAGGGAGCACACTGTGGGTAATTAAGTCTTTTCTTCAGGCAAAATAATCTTAAAATATGGTGGCTACTGAGGGCCCAAATGTAAAGTGAAACTTCCTCAGAGTAAAGTATGTGTGCCCCAAGGCCAAACGTCTCCAGGCAAGTTACTAAAAATTCATTTGTGAGAAATAAGCAGGACCTTGGAGTTGCCCCAGAATAAGGTCAAAAGAAAAAGCACTGATTCTTTGCAACCCAAGAGCACAGTCACTAGCAGGGCCATCACAATGCCTAGCTGCTGCCATTTAAAATTTTAAAAGTGACTTTGAGCTAATCACCAACTTAATTTGATCCATAAAGATCATGACACAGTTTTATGATCTCTGTCATCCTCTTCTCCTGGCATGGGGAAGCCCCCAGAAGCTCTGGGGGATTCAGAACTCCTTTAAGGAACTTTGGTCAGCCCCACTGAGACTCGGCTCCTCCCTATACCCTTTCCTGACAGGTGCATGGATTTTTTTCCATGTTCCCTAGAGGAGCTAATAGTTATTTTCCAGTTGCCACCAAAACAAAAACACAAAAAAATAAAATAAAACAACAAATCCCAAACCTGTTACTCAGGGTAAGTGCAAAAACGGACACATAGGGTCAGAAGAAATGAGCCTAGCAGGGTAGGGGAAGGAAAGAGAGGACCAGGACAACTAGTGACGGACCCGCCTGGGTGAGCTCTGACCCCCGAGGGTCACCCCTCTTTTGCTGATTATCCTGGTTGCTCCTGCTTCTCTGAAAGTCTGTTTCCTGAGTGGCTCCTCTTCCCTGCCCGTCTCTGCAGTGAGCATCTCTAAGACACACTTGTCTCCTGCCTGCCCACCCCATTTCCCAGAACATGCTCCCTCAGAAAATGCCGTGGGCTCACTGCTGGGCAAGCTTCCACTCTGGCTTCCACTGTTCTTCCCACCACACAGAATCCTGGAAGCCTGGGTGGGGCAGGGCCACGCGAACCCACTGATGCCTCAGGTCCTCCACCCGGTACTTCAGCCTGCTTTGGAGCCCAGCCCCAGTGATTCTGGACCTGATAGGCTGCTGTGGACCTCTGACCTCCCAGCAGTACATGCGCTCCCTGCTGGTGTCCTGGTTATTTACTCACTGGCCTTCGAAAGGCGCCCAACCCTCCTGGTATCTCCCCCAACCCCACCCACATCCTTCCTCCATTGACTCCCCTTGTGAGAAGAAGCCTGGGGCCCAGATAGCCAGCCCCACCTGGACCCTGGTGCCTCACTTACAGAGTGGCCTCGCATCTGGGTTGCAGCCTTCTGGAAATGTGGCATCATCCTCTTGCACATGCTGCACCCTAGTCACGGGCAGGAGCAAAACCAAAGTCAGTTATCATGGGTGCTTGGCCCTGCACTCACCTCTACCTAGCAAGCATTTGTCCAGCCTCCAGAAGTACAGGGTCAGAGGCAGAGGCCCTGGCCCCAGAGTGTTCACAATTTTGGTGGCACAGCGGTCACTCAGTAAATGGTGGACTAACAAATGTGACACAGCTGGAGAAGGACAGAGCACTGCATAACTAGAGCTAATAGTGAGTTAAACAGGAATGTGGAGACCCAGAAAAGATATCAGGAAAGCACCTCCCGTCATTTCATGCACAACTAGAAGCCTCACTTCCTAGTCAGGAGCTGCCAACGACCCAAGTCAAATGCCATTACTAAGAAAATGTACAACCACAAATACAATGACTTCTGGGATTTTCATACTTCTTTTCTTTCATTAGCAAAGATAATTAACGCAGTGACTGGAGGCCAACCGGTGGGTGCTAGCTCTGGTCCTGGGGAGAAAGTACCGTGAACAGACAGGAACCTGGGTCTCATCTCCTGTCAATTTGTGAGGCAGATCACCTCCTTTCTCTGGGCTGTAGTTCCTTGGGGCCAAAGAGGGGGGTGCATGAGAAAACCCCCAGTTCTGTGTTATCTTTGACTCAGGGGTTCTGTAGCCCACCACATACATCCTCTTTTCCTGGGGTGGTGATTCAGAACCAAGATAGTCAAGCTCCAAACACTCACTGTGACGTGACCTGAACCTCATTTATACCCGTCCCTTTTCTACAACCAGAACAGGCTACGTTTGGGCACTGACACCACAGGACATAGGCAGCAGTTTCCTCAGACAGGAGTTCTGACAGGCCAGGGGTTACTCTTTCTGACAGCGGCTCTGCTGCAATACAAGCTTGAGATGCATCTGAGGGCTGCAGAAACCAAAGCCGGCATTAGGCTCCATCTCGTCTCAACAGGACACATCAGGAACAGGGCCACCCAGTGGCATTTTGACAAACTCTAATCCATGTTAGGTTCACGCCTTGTCAGGCCGTGGGCAGAGTAATACATATCAGAGAGGTGCACCCATCAGGCCAGATACAGATACTGGAAGACTGGGAGCAGATCAAATACCCTGGGACCACCAGAATCTCCCTCTGCAGCACCAAGACTACCAGATAAGGTGCAATGTGGGATATTTTGACATATCGAAGTCCATGGCTCCCTCCCCCACATTCCTGCCTGACATACAGATAGCCACACACCAGCCTATTAAGCCTGGACTTAAGTTCAGGGTCAGAGACTGGGAGACACAGGAGTGCAGCAGCTGTTGTGAGGTTACCCAAAGCCTGAGCCATGGCACCTGTCGTCAGAGCATAAGACATGCCTGATCTTCAGTAGCTGCACCTTCCCCACAATCATAGTGAAAGGGGAATAATCCCCACTGTGGGGATTATCAAAGAAGAGAATGGAAACAGGAAGGACATGCCAACTCCTCCAGATGCCCAGGATCCACCAGGTGGACGCCAGTGGGAGGGAGGCCATAGTGGAAGGAGCTCACGACTTCCACTCATAGTGGAAGGAGACCACAACTGGGGTCTGCATCTCCCTTTATCCACCTGCTGCTAGTGTGACCTTTGGCATAGATGGCCTGAGTCTCAGCTTCTCTACCTGCTGAGTGGAGGCAGCACCTGCCCTGCAGGCAGAGGAGAGCCATGAGGCAGGCAGAACTGGGCACCAATGGGGGAGGCTCAGTGACTACAGCCCTGAGAGTTTGCCTCCTGGTCCACGGCAGAAAAAACTGTCCTGAGGGACAAAGGATGCCACTCTCCTCCCCAGGAAGGAAATAAGTGGGGGACACTGACCACCCCTCATCTACTCTTCACTCTGTGACTCGATGAGATGGTAGGAGTCTGACACCCACTGAGCCACGTTCATCAGTCAGGACCTTAAATGATGACCAGTCCCCACATGTGTGGCTTCTCTTTTTGAGTTCTGCCTGTCTGCAACCTGCAGCAACATTACCCCCCATGTTCCCCAAACAGCAGGTAAGCGGCCAGCTGTCCCTGTGAGCTGAGGCCAGCAGTTCTGAGGAGAGAAGTTACTGGGAGGAATAGGAGATGGAAGAGTAAAAGGAAGCTACAGACCAAATCAGTTTCCAATTTAATTTTATAAAAAATAGAGATGGTACTATGATTTTCCAGCAGATTCAACAGAGAGGCAAAAGAAGAGATAAGACTAATTATCACCCTCAAATTTCAAAAGTTATAGCATTCAGCCCTTCTATTTTCCCATTGAGTCACCAAACATCTACTGAATAAACAATAAGTCCTGGGGACCCAGAGTCCCAATGTGGTCGGAGTCCTAAAAGACTCCCAGTTAGGGCATTGGGGTGTTTCCCAGGAATAAGCCTAATTATGAGGTGATAAGAGCTGGACTGGACTAGTGTAATAATGTCACAAGTTTGCTTTATCAGGAGCAATCAGGAATCCTGAGGTTCCCTTGTACCCAAGAAGCCATTTGATTCAACCCCCCATGGCAGGTTTGAACTTAATGCTCTTGAGCTTTCTCCCTCCCTCTGCCAGTACTAACTGCTCTGTGACACCTACAAGGAAACTAACTCCTCTACAAAGCTTTCTATTATATAAAGATAATAATTATGCTTGCCTCTCTCCTGCTGTGATGAGTAGGATGGGCACGCTGCCAGACAGCCTGGAGAGTGGGAGGTGGTGATGGCACACATTCAGTGCCAACTGCTAGTGAACCGCTCTTTGTAAGTGATTAACTAGTGTCATTATACTAGAACCAGCACGGTTATGCCTTGATCCTGCCTTGTGACATGTACTATAAACTCACACACATTGCTTGAGTCTCACTAACCAATGTGTTGAGTCCTGAAGGGTTCTGAGATAAACCAAAGGAGGCCTTATCCTCAAGGGTCAGCATGGGCAGGAGAGTCCTACAGCACCACATGGCTGGGCAGTTAACAAGATCCATCAGAGGGAAAACAAAAAGGTGAAACCAACCAATAGTAATGATGGGCGGGTCTTTGCTCAAAGAGCTCCTCAGGAAGGGGAACTGAGGAGGGTTTTCAAGAGAAAAGAGAAGCCCAGGGCATCCCTGGTGGCACAAGGGGTTAAGCACCTCACTATGATGTGATCTGCAGCCTCTGCAGCACAAGTTTGATCCCCAGACAGCCAGAGAGAAACCCACATGGTGAAGCAGACGTCTCCTGTCTCGCCTGCTGCTCCCCTCAGCAGTGTGTTTCAGTCAGTCTGCCTGTTCTGTTCCCCACTCTGTCTCTGGAGAATCCACTCACCCCACCCCCCGCATCTCTGGCTTGTACCCCAGCTCTTGTATGTATAAGTAAATAAATCTTTTTAAAAAAAAAGAGAGAGAAGCCCAGTGACCCACCCTGGGAGCCACTGTCAGGCCTGGGCACAGCCACCTCCAACCATACACAGCCAGCTCTCTCCAGCTTTTAGACCTCTGGTTTCCTGAAGAGCATGTACAGAATCACAGCCCAAGGGCCTTACACAGGCTTTAACCCAGTGTTTTCCAATCTGCAGACCCAAACACTGCAGGGGTGGCCCAGAGAGTGAATTTTGAGCCCTCTTGGGATATACCATCAACTATTCAATTTTGCTGTTTCAAGCCTGAAAGCAGCCAGCCACAGACAAAGTGTAAACAAATTGGCTGTGTTCCAACAAAAACTTATTTACCAAAAAGGCAGCCAGTCCATGGGCCATAATTTGCTGATCCCTTATTAGAGAGTTATGAAATTGTAGGAATAACCAATAACTTCATAATAAAACAGAACTAAAAGAAAATATGGTGTGTGCTATGTCTGGTAGAGTGGATGGCAAGCAGTAAAGGTTACCATGGTTTTGTGAAACTTCTGTTTCAGCTTATTTATATGTAATTTAAATAACTGCACCGTAAAGGGTTGCAATATAAATATTTTTAATACTGTGAAATGCAATCCAAAAGTGTTAAAACCACTGATCTGAGCCCATCCATTTTCTCAAAAGGTATAGAAACTGAGACCCAGAAAGGTGAAGGACTTGGCTAAGGTCACTCAGCTTGCTGGCAGCATAGCTGAAATCATAACCCAAATCTTCTGGTTCTCATCTGCTGTTCGTATGGCCCTTACCACACACATAAAGACTGAAAACAGGGCCTCCCTGCTGGCGCAGCGGGTTGAGCACCACGCTGTGAAGCTGTCCACAGCCTCTGCAGCACAAGTTCGATTCCCGGCCAGGGAGATACCCACATGGAGCAGCAGACCTCTCCTGCCTCGCCCGTTGCTCCCCTCAGCAGTGTATTTCAGTCAGTCTGCCTGTTCTGTTCCCCACTCTGTCTCTGGTGAATCCTCTCAACCCTGCATCTCTGGCCTATACTCCAATTCTTGTATGCAAAAATAAGTCTTTAAAAAAAAAAAAGACTGAAAACAAATATCGGCCTCCTTTCTCCCTGGTTGGAACTCCCTTGCCCCCGCCCTGGTGGCACCAGCAGAATCAGAGATGCACAAGCTGTTGCCCAGAGGCAGATGAGGCTGTGGATGGTGGGCAGCAGCATGGCCAAGGGGTGGCAAAGCAGCAGCAGGACCTCAGAGAGCACATCCAAAATCAGGGCAGGGCTCCATCAGGGCTCAAGGTAGGCAGCAAAGGGGCTTTGGGCTCACAGGAGGAGAGGGGCAGGGGAAGGCGAGGAACCTTGAGAGGAGACCCCAGTTGTAGCTGATTGGCACTCAGCTCCACCTCTTCTCAGGGTGAGGAGAGCAGAAGGATGTGACTCTAGTGAGAGAAAACCTGTATGGATAGCAGGAGACAGGTGCCAGATGAAGAGAAGGGAAAGGAAAGAGTCTAGACAGGGATGGGCTGAGTGATGATACTGCAGTTTTGAGTGAGAGACCTGAGCTAGTTCCCAGTTCCCACCACTCTTCCTCCCCTCACCCCACTGCTAAAAATGGCTCAAAAGACATAGGTCACTCACAGGGGGCATAGAACATCATCAGCAGCGGCTTCTCTTCCTTCTTCAGGAGGCGTCTGAAGTCCTGAGGCACAAACAGATAACACCACAGGTCACACACAACAATGGAGAGAGCATCCCTCCAGGAACCCCGCCATGGTGGGAGGAGCAGGGCAGGCACTGACTTGAGGCTGAGGGATGCAACGCACAGCCAGGGCATATCAGGAGCTGGAAGAATCTTCTGGAAAAAGATTGTCCAGACAATATCTATTCCAGGAATATTACAGATGAGGAAGCTGAGGCCCCAAGGGGACAAATGGCTTGCCAAAGGTCACCAGGTGGGATGACCTTGTCTGGACCAAGCAACCAACTTTACTTGAACAATTAAAAGGCTACAAGGAGCCGTGTGTGTCCCGTGAGGCTGTTCACCAGGCCACTCATTCACCTTGCTCTACAGAAGTGTTTGTTGAGGTGAGGGGTCATTGTTCTCGTGTAGATCTGACTTGGCTAGCTAGGGAACTGCTGGTAACTAACTGGGGGATAACCAAGGCTGACTAATCTCTTTTCCCAGCTCCAGTTTCACCCCCATTCACCACCCCAAGGAGTCTGCTGTGCTTACAGGCGCATGAGGATAAAGTATGCCCAGACCCACCCCACCCAGGAGGTTACAAGCTAATGGATCACTTAGTGCCTGGCCTCTTCTGAGGCAATATGTAGTTATTTGTTAAACAAATACTATAAATGTAAAAAGACAAATGGTCACAACAGTACTAAGGTAGACACTCCAGTCACTCCAGTGTAAAGCAGGGAAGGAGATTTTTCTTCCAATGTGCACTAAGGATGTACAGGAAAAAGCAAATCGATCATGGACTGTGGTGACAAACCATGATAGACCTATTTTGAACAAAATAAGCTCCTCTAACCAGTTTCCACGGAAGGAAAAACCACAGAGGTTTTTTTCTCTTTTGAATAAAGGAAAATAAGAGGAAATTTCAAAATGCATCTTTCTGGCAGCAAAAAAGCATTAGATAAATAAATGATAGTACATTAATCCCACACAATGGAATACAATTGCATCATTAAAAGCGAGGGAGAGGAATATTTAATGTCACAATAAGACGTGCACATTGCATTAAGTATCTGGGGGAGCAAGTTACAAAACAGTAAATAAAAATGTAATGACACTTTAGTGAGTAAAGATGTTTATGTCTGTATTACATTGAAAGCCTGAATGACGACAGAGAACTCCAGCAGTGGACATCTCTCAACAGGAAGGACCAGAGTGATATTTTCCCCTTTTGTGCTTAAGCTGCATTTTCTAAATTTTCAATGATGAATTTATATTACTTAAAATTACTTAAAATTAATTACTTAGAATTATTATTTCCAGTTAGATTTTAAAAAATACCAACATTTTGTGGAAATTGAAAACATTTTATAATAAATTCTGAAAACAATTTCTTTTGTTTACACAACTCGAGGGTTAAAGCACTCATTTTAAGACAGATTAGTAACTAAGATCTTTGGCCCTTATTAAAGAGTGAAGGATGAAAACACTTTGAAAATGATCTCTGGAATCCCTGGAGATGAAATTAGGTAAAAGGTCTAAGAAGAAAAGGCTTTTCAGAGTGTATAGCAATTTGGTCTCATATCCTGAGTACTAACAAATATTATATTACAGTCAAAGATATTTAGCTACTTTAGCTAAGTGTGGAACTCTAAGCTTTCAAGTATGAATTGGCAATTTAAACCTGAATTTGGAACTTTCAGTTATTTCATGTGAAGATCCTATTGGTAGAAGAGCAGCTATACCTGAAATGTTCATATGAGAGAAAATAGCATAATGTAGGACAAGGGGATTGCCTACAGATGTGGAAAAAATATTCTGCCTAATATTTCTTTTTTTTTTTAAAGACTTATTTATTTATTTGTTTGTTTATTTATTTATACAAGCACTGGGTACAGTCAGAAGCGCGGGAGGGTGAGAGAATTCACCAGAGCCAGAGCGGGGAGCAGAGCAGGCAGAAGGACCGAAGTACACTGCTGAGGGGAGCAGCGGGAGGCAGGAGAGGTCTGTGCGCCATGTGGGACCCTCCTCTGGTGGCCGGGGAGCAGCCGGGGATCGAACCGGTGCTGCAGAGGCTGTGGGCAGCTTCGCAATCCAGCGTTCAACTGCTGCGCCACCAGGGAGGCCTTCTGCCTAATATTTCTACAGTTACACGAGAACAAGCTTAGGAATTTCAGGAGACAAACATTTGGGGAGGGAAGGTGGCAGACAGCCCCTTTCCAGAGAGGTTAAAAACATCTGTTATCATATAATCTCTCCAGGAGACATGATCAGTTTGAGTTGTTTGTTTTTGCCTACCCAGTGCAGAGAAATGCAGGTGCCTAGCCCCTTAACTGGAATTGCCACACACCCACTTGGTTGGTCCATGATGATCACACAATCCCTCCTTCAGAAAGTATAAATGGCATCATTTTCTCTAAAAGTCAATGATTTTAAATGAAAAGAGAGAGAAGGCAGAAGAAGATAAAGCTATGTTTTGATGTTATCAGGGTAACATGCCATGCTGCTCCCCGCATCTACAGAAAACCCTGCTTGCCTCACTGACCCCTGGAAATGTAACAAAGAAGGTCCGGTCCATCCCCTTCAAGGCACAGTCAAGCAAATAAGGCACATGAGTGTGCACGACACAAACACTGCACATGTGGAGGGCGCACATACAGGTCAGAGGGGCTGGCCACTGTCAGGAAGAGAAGGCTTGTACAGAGACCAAACATGAGAACCATGGTGTGTCCCCAAACCCCACTCTGTCAAAACCTGGAAACTGAAGCTGAGGAAAGTAAATAATTTGCTCAAAGTTATGCAGTGATTCAGAATTGTAAAACCCGACCCCAGTCTTTGGAAATCCAACTCAAATCTCTGAGATTATTTTTACAAAAAAAAAAGCAGAATTCACTTTAAAAACTAACCACAAAGCCAAATCCTAGCAACAAGTGGATACATAACAAGGAGAAGATATTTAAACTAATATAAAGAAAATCTAAACATGTTAAAATGCATCAAGTAAGGTGGTGAAGAACGGAGAAAGCTCTCAGGAGCCAGCCTGTGATCACCCGTTGGTTCTGTCATGGAGCTGGGAAACAGAATCAAGTATTAGCACCCTGATCCAGCTTCCTTGAAGGAAAGCACAATCAGTCCCTAATTCTCCCATTTCTAAGCTCCAGAGGCATGTCTTCTTTCAACTCTGGTATGATGAGAAATAAATTACCTTTTCACTGTCAATGTGAACAACATCTTTGGCTCCAGGATCTTCCTCCCATAGTGGGGGCCCCTTTGGATCCTTCAGAAATGCCACTAAGGACTGAAGAAAAGAAAAGAGATGGTAAAACACATTTTAGCCAAAGAGATGGGAGATCAAGAACCTGTTCTTAACCTGCCGGAGACCCAAGTGCCTGGAATGGGCTGCATGTGGCACATGGGCAAACATTTCGGGTGTGCAGTGACTCATGGCCCTAAGAATGCATCGCCACACCAGGCTTTTTCAATCACTTAACCATACTCTAGTCAGCTGATCTATACTTGCTATGCCACTTCATGGTCAGGAAAAAAAAAGTGGAAATGTGAGACAATTAGTGGGCTTATTCAGAGACACACTACTGCTCCTACTAAACCTCATTTCCTCCAGTCTCTCCAATCCAGCCCTATCCACATTCAGACAGCCACTCAAACTGTCAACTCCACAGGCAGGTAATTACACTGACTTGAAACCTCCTCAGTATCTCATGATGTAAAACGCTTTGGGGGTGCTTTAAATCCTGACCACCCTCTGTGGGGTCCTAGCAGGAAGCCCATGGGGCAGGGTGTGCATCTCTGTGACCACTCTGTTGCTAGACTTCTCTTCCCAAAGGCCTCCCTTTTGTATTGCCTCGGAGGAAGAGCTGACAAACACCTTCAGGATGAAGGGCTTAAACTAGCCTTTGTCATTGGGAGAACTGTGTCAAATCCATACTTCCTTTGGAGAGACACATGCAGGTAGGATGGAAGGGGCAAGGCCCTGCGCTCCAGTCCCTCACACTGCACTGATCTAGCTTTCCTTTCCCCTCAGATAGCTGCTTGGGAACTGGTGCTCAAAGTCAACGAGAACCAGGAAGATGTTCCAGAAACCGACCAAACCTCTATCCCTCCAATCCCGGACAGGAGTGACTGGCCTCCATGTCAACAGACAGAGCCCTAGATGTCCCCCAATTTGATGAAGAAAGAATCTGTTACTTCTTTCAACAATGATCAAGTGACAGTGAGCGGATGAGCTGGGAGAGGGTCTGAAGTGAGAAAGGGAAACAACCTCTTTGCAAGAGGGCTGTGCATCCCAATCACTGGTCACACACAGAGGACCTCAGTGAGGTTTAGTATTTCTGGAGACTCCCATTTGGAACAAGCTCCTATGGGAGAGTGGGAGGCAGCCAAGATTTGGTAGGATTTCATTCAGGTAATGGTCCCTGTTGGTCCAAATGGAGCTGCAAAATGCCTCCTGGCAAGAGAAGGGCTGTTTCCACATCACAAAGGCAGATCACCTTTTCTCAGCTCCTTTTCAAAGCCTCACTGTGACAATATAAGCCAAAATGGAACTGGCAGGGCCCCACCCATAGCTGCAGAGGCAGCTGCCTACCCAGGCCATGTGAGTAAGAGGCTTACAGGTGTCCATCTGCCTGTTAGAAAGACCTGGTGCAGTGATCTCAGTCTAGGGAGCACAGAAGACTTCTGGGGTCTGTTAAACCCCAGACATGAAAACATTTACTTTAATTTATGCACACACATGGCTTCTAGGGAGAAAGTTCACAGTTTTCAGGTGATTCTCAGTGGGTCTAGGAACCCAAAATAAATTAGGAACTATGCTCTTTGGGGACTCCTGTTCCCACACCAGCATAAGCTGAGTTAAAAGGTTCACAGCCTCCCCATTCCCTACCCCCCAAGCTCTGCTTCATATCAAGAAAAAAAAAAAGATGAATGTGGACAGAAAAAGGAAATAAATTGCCTCTTTTAATGTAACAATTGAAACATTCATACTAGTAATCTTTTTGCTTTTTAGGTGGAGATAATTCTTGCTTAACTCAAGTTGAATAACCCCACCCAAGGGTCCTCTCAAAATTACCCTAATTAACAAGATCTTGGGTGGAAAAGTCTCCAGGGAGCAATACCTGGAACCCCATCCTCAGTTAGCCCATTTTGGGTACTCTGAATCTCAGGGAAATGGCCTAATAGCATACCTTAGAACTAAGGACATGGTCCTGGCTGGGAAAGCACACTTATAGCTACAGGGCCTTGGGAGAAAGTCATTAGAGGGCCACATGAATTTCAGCTTCCAGCTACCAGTGGGCCTCAGCACTTACACATTTCATGGATTTTGCTGGATAGACTGCTGACAATCAAAAGGCCATTTATAACACAGGGAACTCTTCAAGTTTCCAACTCTTATCCACACTTAATCTGGCCCCTGGAATCATTTAAAGACCACAGCATTGTCCCTATGACCAGGGACCTACCAGACAGAACATGATGACAACATCAACAGCTAGAGCCTGAGCCTGCAGACCATGCCCCTGTCCTGCCACAGGTGCGTCCATTTACCTGGACAAAAAGGCTCAGGAGAAACCTTGAAAGGAAAACTAATCCTTGACAAGGGAGCTCTGGTCTCGGCTGCTCCTGCTGAAAAGCAGAGCTATCAGGCAGTCATGGGGATGCTGGCCCTGTGGGCTCTGGGGACCCAGGATGCCCTGCCTCTGCTAAAGACACTGATCTTGTACAACATACAGCCCATTTCTCCAGCTTGTTGATGTAGAAATCACAGAAAGATGTGGGCAAGCGGATTCCACACACCTAGGCTTTGTAAAGAGGGGGAAGAAGGCCAGGACTTGGCTTCCCCCACCCAGGCCAGCTCAGTCCACCTATGGTTCTCGCTCCTTTCTTGCAACTACAGTTCTGAGCAGCTGCAAGTTCTGCTCCATGATCTCACAACTAACTCCTCAGAAGGCCTGGCCCGATTAAATATAAACTCAACACAGCCTCCAAAACAAAACAAAGAACCACCACCCCCTCCTTCCATCACTACATAAGTACTTCCCTTACCCACCCCGCTCAATCTTGTTCCTTGGGGAGCATGTGTTCTTCCCAAGAATTTCAGTTGATGTTTTAATACAACAAAAGAGGGGTTAAGCAACTCTAGTTGGTAGAATTTCTCTAGGTGTCTAAGTGGGGGTGATGATGATGAGTAATCAGGCTAAGTCCATATAAGGCAAAAGCTGCAGCAACTTTAAAAAGAATGAGTGTTAGCAGATAAACAAGAAATGATCAAGGAAGTGGGGGCGCTACCCAGGGAGTGTGATGCACTGACAGCTGCACAGATAGATGGAAAGACAGGAAGAACAGGAGACACTGATGAAGAAAAGGAGACAGAGAGAGAAGCACAGGTTCCAACCCAGCGTGAGAAGCGAGAGAGTCTGAGAGAGTGAGTTTCGCACAGTTGGGACTAGGAGAAATAGAGGGCCCCAGCATGGCAGGAGAATCCCACCTGAACAGGAGGTAGGATAAGACTGGTTTGAAGAGAGAAAGTGTACATTGAAGGAGGAGAATCCAAAGGCAGTGGAAGAACTCAAGGCTGGAGCAGCTGCTTTGCATGAACAAAGTCACAAGAACTTCACAGTTATATTCACTGATGTTTTACATCTACTTCCAAGTTAGATTTATAGTGGGAATATCTCAGTGACATCAGCCCACAGGGGCCAACCACTGTGGGCTACCAGAGATAAGGGAGGGCTTGAAGGCATAGCAAAGGGAGACTCAGGCTTGCGGAGTGGACAAATATGATGTGACATGCCTCACTGGACCACTGCTGAAAAATTCACAGATTTACCTCTGAGGCTGGTCATCCTCACTGTATTAACAATCACAAACTTTTCTAGATATTCTGCTGACATATGCTCTAGAGATAAGAATCCCTCAGGTCATTTCGCAGAGCTATTTGTGCAATCTGCCCTTCCTTCTCTCAGAGCAAACCTGCCAGACTTTTGGCGTCCATTCAGACTCTGCTTCTGCTGAGAATGAGGGAGGTAAATTTACCTTAAATGTCACAGCTCGGTTATATTCAGTATGAAACGCACCATCCCTGTCAAATGAGGAGAAAAAAGTGTTAACTGTAAGAATGGTTGCGAAGATATATACCTTTGGTTTCCTGCAGCATCTTAAGATTTAGCTATTCAACACAGTTTGGGTTTTTTTTTTGGTAAAGAAATAATTGTAAAAACAGAAAAAAATCATTCTGAAATAAAATTAATCTAACTAAAAACTACTGTTCACTGAGAATACCAATGAAAGCTTTCAGCCCTTCCTTGGAAATTGGAAATGCCACGTGCACTTACTGGTAATGGAATAATTCGACCTTTTTGTCCTTTGGGCTCAGGTCAACTTTCATCTTCTTGCACAATTTTCTACTCTCTGCGTCACTGAAAGACACAAGTGTCGGGAACCATTTGTTATCTAAAGTCCTCACATAGGTGTTGACAGAGTAAAATATTCCAGTGGCCTAACAGTAAGTCAGGTAACGGGACATTCTCAAAAGCGAGTGAGAAGTTCACTACAGACGGGTTCTCACGGGATTGGAGAAGGGAGCAGCCAAGAGTTGCGACAGGTCAAGAAAGAAGGGGCCAGGTGGACAAGAGGCTGCCCTGCTGCCTGCAAGAGGCCGCTCAGAAAGATTTGGACAAAGGAGTCCCCAGAATATGAGGGGGTGGACAGTCTATGCTAAGGTGGAAAATGAACAACTAGTATAGAATCACCTGGGGAAGCTTTGGAAAATATCGGCCCCCGGCTTCCCCAGATCACTAGATCAGAATCTCTACCTGGGACCCAGCAAGTTATGTTTTTAGAGCTCTAATGTGTGCTGTATGCCACCTGCTATCAAACCATCTGGACTGGGATAAGAGGGAGAAGTCCTACAGTGTTTAAGAAGTTATGAAATCTGACCAGTTACTGACAAAGCTAAAAGGAGAAAGGGGAACACTTCAGTGCAGGGAGCACCACCTCTGCATTACCACACTTTCAAAATCTGCATTATCACACTCTCAAACATCTGTTAGATGTCATTCACTGTTTACACAGTGCTCATGCATGAGCTCATGTAATTGTAGTTTCCTTCCTGTGAGACCAAGGGACCGCAATTATAATGCTGGACCAGCAGCATCAGCATCATCCAGAAACCAAAACCTCTGCCCGCTTAGACCTACTAAATCAAAACCAAGGTACTTGAGCAATTGTGTGTTAAGGAGACTTTCTAGGTGATTCTGATGCATGCCATGCACAATCTTGCTTTCTCCTCCACCTCCATGAAGTTCGGTTGCCCCTATGCCCCACACTAGCTGCCTCAGGGAACGTTGCCATTATCATGGCCTCCCCAAGACCTCACTGCACTTAGTCAAGTCTGCCCAATACATAGCAAAGGCAGCAGACACCCCACCTGGATAGGGTTCTGCTGGTTTCTTCAAGGTCCCCTCCCCAGATTCGAATCGGTCACCCAAGCCCAACGGCCCCTGTTGACTACACTTCATGAAAAACTGTTCTGCCAGGTATGACAGCCACCTGAGGGAAGTCCCTCATCTCCCACCTGTTTACATACCTCACCACCTTCCACAGCCATCAGCTTCACACAGCTGTGCATCAGTCCCAGAACAGATGGACTAATTAAACCATTCAGCTCAATTCTAAAAGCAACGCTCATCAGTGGACAAACAAAAAATTGTTTTAAGTGCAAATATACAATTTGCAATTCAAAGCAAGTCATACTCTCATCTTACTGGGGAAGTGCAGGAAGGTCAGAGAGGGAGTGTGTAGGGCACACTCCTGGGATCCCCTGCTCCACCCCACCCGGGGTCCAGGGTTTTCCCTCCTTATTTAGTCCCACCTGTGCTAGCTACCACTGTGGATGCTGCAGCTCCCAGCCCGGGTCTGGCACACAGCAGGGACTCAAGACACACACAATGGATTCAGAAAGGAAGAGCTGATGGCAGCTGATGGCAGTGCTCCCTCAGGGGAGCCCCTGAGGTGGTGAGGGCATTTTATGATGAGGAGAGTTCAGAGAGAAGGGATGAGCTGGGTGGAGAGGAGACCCAGAGAGGCTGAGAGCATATATCAGAAGGCCCTATAAAGGCAGCCCACAACATCCAGTTGCTGGGATCTTTCTGGCCCTAAAGCTCCGTGGGACGCCATGCCAGAGTGGAGAAGGCCATTGCACACAAGCCTACACTCACAGCTGTGATTGCACCATGGGTTTGCCTATCCCACAGGGGCTCTGTGGTGAAGCCACACATATAGGCACCAGGTTTGTCGGAGAACAACTGTGTCCAAGGAACCCTCTCCCTGTGGTGGCTGGCACAGGTAGGACTAAATAAAGAGAGAAAACCCTGGACCTGGGGTGGGGTGCAGCAGTGGAGCCCAGGAGCTAATTCTTTGGGAGAGAGGGTGCTACTCAGTAGGCTTATAACCGCTTACTGGGCCCTCTCCCTGTCCAGCTCTGCTCTGCTGTTCTCACCTGTTTCTCTGACCACCTACTGTCTGTCCACCTGTAATAGCAAATAATGACAAGGGTAGGGACAGAGTTTCTGGTACCCACGGGCCTCCCTATTCCCAGCCTGGCATCCAGCAGGGGCACCGCTAGGGCCTACTCACACTGCTGTACCTGCAGTGGCTGCTCAGACTCTGCAGGCAGCCAGAGGGGAGAAGGCCATTGCACACAAGCTCTCTTCCACCAGGCCTGGCTGGCAGCTTCTCCTGGGACATTCAGAAAGCAAGAGAAGGAGTGACAGGACTCTGAAATTCCAACCCCAATCCCTGCCTGCTCTGACAGAACCCAATCCACAGAAAAGTCTCGGTGAGTTCCCCAGCCCAGGCTTAGAGGCAATGCTCCAAATCAACCAAGTCGGCTGAGAGGAGCGGGGAGGGCAGAGGTTCTCCAATCTGTTCCTCAGTCTGGACTCCTGCCTGTGAAGCTAGCCCCCACAACAGTCTGTGGTCCCCACTCCAGTTAAGCGAATCACAGCTCTGTCTGTCTCTGCCACAGGACTTGCTATTGAAGAATCTGTGCAGCCCTTTTCTTTCCCAGGAAGGCACTGTTCTCTCCTGCCCCTAAACACTCTCTCTCTGAGGGGAGGGTGGGAGAAGAGAGCCCCTTCTCTGCTATCCTCTCTCCACCTCTGGCCCACTTATCCACTGTAATCCCCATCAGAAGCATTTGTTCCATAAAAGCCAAGGCTTGTGTGGTTCACAGCTATTTCCCCAGGGTTACAACAGCAGCTGGCACATAGCAGGCACTCTCTAATCTGGCTGATGAATGAATGCATGAATGAATGATGCTATCCTCTGGCTGCTGGGATGAGGCTCTGTACTTCCAGCTTTCTGGGCTCTGTCTATTAAGCTCCAGGAACCCTGCCAAGAGACAGTGCTGACAGTATGCCCATATTAGCTCCCCTCATTCCTATGATTCTCTCAGCGTATAAGACAGAGAGAGAGAGTGTGTGTGTGTGTCTGTTGTCTGTGCTGCACAATTTGTGTGCAGCAGACAAGACACACAAATTGTGCAGCACAAACAACAGAAGTTCTAGGAGTTCAAAAAGGGGAGAAAAATTACCCAAGCTCAGGCATCTGGGTTGATAGATGAAGCACAATTAATTGATTTACTGGCTATCTCCTTTTCTACCTCCTTTCCCTAGTCAGTGACTAAGGTTTCACGGGGAAAAGGAGACAAAGGCAGTGAGTAGGGAAATAAGCTTTGCTGGTATGGAGCAGGAGGAAAAAAACCCCATGGATCATGTAGGGTGATCCTGGCTGTGCAAAGATTCTCCCTTGTCCTTTTCCTGGCTATCTGGCAGGACCAGACATCTACTGGAATGCTGGAGCCCACCTCCCTCTGCCCACTCATTACCGCTGCAGGGGCAAAGCATCAAGGCAGGGGCCTGATCCATCCTATCCTGCCCCACACTGCCCCTAGCTCTCCTCTGTCCAGCATGTGGAGGAAAAGATTATACTCTGCACCTCAGCCCTGGCCCTGACAGACACAAACATGTGGGTATTTCATTTGAATTTGCTGTGGTGGGGCTGGCTAGCAGTGCGGAATGGCTGCTGCAGGTGATGTGCTGTGCTCACTAGGTTTTCCTGCACGTAACGATCATCCAAAGACCAGCGACTCACTCCTGAAGTCAGACCCAGGGATTATAGGTGGGGAAGTGACAGCAGAAAGAAAAAGAAACAAGATGCTGGAGGCTCTGAAGGGGAGGTATGACCTTCACAAGTTGCAGTCTAAGTACTCAGCCCTCCCTGGAGGAAGGCCCAGCTGCCAGCTGGAATGACTGCCGGCTTCTAATTGGCTCTGCCACCAGCCAGCCTGTGACCTCTGGCAGGAACCTTGGTTTCCCAAGCTTCAAAATCAGCCGTCCACATGAACTGAATGGCGATTTCAATTCCTCCACTGGGTCAAGTATTACGAAAGCATCAAGACTGGTCACCTATATCCTGACATTAAACTAGGAGCCAGAAGCCAGGACAGAAGGGAGAGACTGAGAAAGACCTGAGCCTCCATCATCTCTGTCATAGCCTCCCACCCAGATCCTCACTCAGCCAGCTGGCATCGTTACATCCACAACCACGAGCAGTCTCCTACAACAGGGCAGAAAGCTACCCTGAGAACCAAAGGCAAGGCCCCCAGCCTCTCCTGGCCACTAACTGTGTGCCCTTGGCTAAGCAGCCCTGCTGCTGCCATTTCCCCATCAAAGAGGGGTACATCTCTCCCAGCTGCCAGGTCTGACAAGTCAGGATTCTGAGCAAATGGACCAGTGACCCCTAAGGGTAGGTAGGAAAGAAAGGGTAAGAAGAGAGTGTCCCCACTTTAGAGACAGGAAGAAATAGGAAACAAGGAATGCGCGAGAACAAAGCATACTAACAGAGTGACTGCTAGGTGCAGATACCAAGGACAAGGTGAAAGAGGGTGGCTGGAGAACCACAGGCAGGAGACAGAGAACAGTCCTAGAATAACTGGACCTTGAACACGGACAAACCTTGGTGATCACACAGCACTCTGAAGAAGGGACTCGCTACGGTAGGGAGCCTCCTGGCTTGGCTGCTCTGCTTGGTACATACCTCAAGAATGCACATAATGAAGTATGAATTATGCAGCACAGTTAATAAAAGTGATGGAACTAAGAGAGAGGAACATGCTTTGCCGCTACCTGCCTTCCCAGCCAGCAGTTTCTTCCTGCACCTCAGCTGGGGCCGCCTTACCCCCAACGTGTACATGGCAATGTGCCAAGCAATATCAGAAGCCACAACAGAAACACGGTTCTTTTTCTGGAACTCTACTTCATCCCCACGGTAAGTAATATTAAACATGAACATATAAGGAAGCAAATGCTAAATGCTAAATAAAAGAATTCTTAGAAGAAAACAGGACTTCCAAATGAGTTATGCCAGCCCAGGCAGATCCCAAATCTTAGGATGCCAGGAAGCAGCACTGCTCTGGGGAAAATAAGGCAGATGGGAGAAAAGGGGGAGTAGGGAAGAAAGGAAATGTGGCTCGGTAATCACCTTAAACCCTTGGAAAAAGAAAGCAGGGAGCACCCGAGAGGGCAGTCTTGGCCCAAGGAGGATCAGTCCCAGGAATTAGCATACCAGGCACAGCTCTGCCCGCTGGCTCCAGCTCAGCAGCCCAGACAGTGGCACTTCACGCCAAGCTGAGCCCCGATGTCAGGCTGCAGGGCACGAGGGGAATACCAACTCCCTCACACACAACCAACTTAACAACCGACAACCACCACCAGCCAACCCGAGCGTGGCTGCAGAGGCCTGAGCCAAGAGGTGGAGTGGGGAGAAGGGAGTGCTGGCAAAAGCCTGGACAGAAGCCAGACACCCTCCAGACACCTCACAGCAACAAGTTATAGGGCGGGGAACCTGGAGAAAACCAACAGAGAAGGGTGTATGTGTGCGAGTGTGAGTCTCAGGCACACATGTAGGGGCAAGGAGGAAAGAACCAGAAAAGCAAGAGGAGAAGAAATGCCCATGCAGTGAGGACAGGAGGAAAGAGACCAACAGAACAGGGGAGGCAGGGACCCAGAAAAGGGAAGAGACAACAAAAACTAGTATGGAGGACCTCCCTGGTGACGCAAGGGGTTAAGCACAGCACTATGACGCTGTCGCAGCCTCTGCAGCACGAGTTTGATCCCTGGCCAGGGAGCTACCCACATGGTGCAGCAGACCTCTCCAGGCTCGCCTGCTGCTCCCCTCAGCAGTGTATTTCAGTAGATCTGACTGTTCTGCTCCCCACTCTGTCTCTGGTGAATCATCTCACCCCCCCATACTTCTGGCCTGTACCCCAGTTCTTGTATGCATAAATAAATAAATCTTTTAAAAAAAAACTAGTATGGAAAGATAGAGAGAGGCGCACACGCACACGCACACACATACACACTGTGCTAACAGCTTCTGGAGTTTTCTAAATCATACTAGGGATGAGAGCAACTTGGAAGATTCAACTCCACATTTCACTGAAGATTAAACTGAAGCCCAGAGAAGGGCAGCAACTTCCTCAGAGTCCCAAAGCTATTTGTTGTCAGAGCCTGAACTGAAAGCCAGGTTTCCCGAGCCATGGTCCTACAAATTCCACAGCACCCCATACTTCATAAAGGGTGGAGAAAGATATCCACATCCTGGGGCTGACTCTCATACCTGGAACTTTCTTCAGGGACATCCTCACAATAGCTAAAGAAAGGATCCTCACCCAATAAAACTGTTCAATGAAGAAATACACCATTTCTCCCAATCTTGGTCACATGAAAATTAACAACAGTAGAATAGCTATTGCATTTAAACTCTATTCTGAACTTTACCCAATCCTTACCATGGACTCAGAAAGAGTGCAGGATATGTACTATTGTCCCATTATACAGGTAAGAAACAGACTGTCCAAGGCCACAGGGTTGGTAAGTAGCAGAGGTGACCCTTCAACCCAGGACTTCTCCTGCATGCAAGGCTTTTTCCAATATTCTATGTACCTCCAGAGCCTCAGTGCTCACCACCACAGCACTGTCCTCTCTCAACCCAGAGTACCCTTGTCCCCTCACCTGTCTTTTTATGGGAAAAGCAAAGTGCCTGTTCACTCCTGACCTTCTTATCACCCTAACCCCAAGCCTGGGGTCCCCAAGTCTAGCCTCCAGAGAGATGGGAATGACAGCAAGGTCCAAGCCACAGGAAGCAAGCTCTGGCTGACCACCTGCTACTGCAAGAAGATGCTGGCTCAGCCCCCCTACCTACCCCACGGCAGACAAGCCACAGGCAAGTGTGCACACAGCACTTCAGCCCCCCCCATCCATGAGAAGGCCACGTGAACGTGGGAATCAGCCAAGTACAGCATCATGCCTTGCACAAGCTGGTGTTGGGTAAACAGGTTAACTACCTGTTTTCCTATATTCACTCACTATGTGTCTTTTCTGTGTTTTTGCCAAATTGGGAGCTAAATATATGATATGAGATGTGTGTGTGTTTGTGTGGATATACACCCCAGAAGCAAAGAGCTGACCACAAAGAGATGTGGAAATCAATCCCAATGATTAAAAGTAAAGGGAGCTGAGTAAACTCGGGATTCACACTCTCAATCTCAAGAGAGTCAGGGAAATTCCACCAAGAGGACCATGCCCCCGCCAAGAGACGGCCTCCTTCCTAAGAACTCCCTCCCTAGGCTGGTGCTTATTCTGCCACCTTAACGCTGGAAAAGTGTCTGGGAGGAGGGAGGTCAGGAAGGAGAGAGAGTTCTGGCAATGGGACAGGTGGGGGGAGTGGGGATGCAGTTCAGAGAGAGTCGGCAGGTATAAACTACCTGCCCTGGGCTGACACATCTAACAGCCACCTCAGAAGTCAAAGCAGCAGTCAGGTAGCCAGTGGTTCCGCTACCTTTACGCTGCGGCCAGTGTAGTCTTCTTTTAAAGGCCTTGGTTGGGCTAAAGCCTATGTGTTCTCACTGAGATCTCCCCAAGCAAGCCTACCAGGTACCCTGAAATTTCACCTTGCCTCTCTGGGCATCCAGGCCCCCTCTTTAAAACAAGGAGGTCCCCTCTGTTGCCCTTTTTTTGATATGGAGAGACAAAACTCAAGTGACACATACAGCAGAGTGAAAAAGAAAAGCACGGAGGAAGGAGGGAAGAAGCAGGGGTGGAAAGAACAGGAAAGAGCGAGAACCTGCCCCTTCCCTCTCCAGTCCAGACATGCCACCGTGATACGCGGAGGTCTTCCTGCAATAATCTCTCCTTCATCTCCTCTCACCCAGAGTCTGAATCAAGGGACAACTCCCTACTTCACCCACCAAAGTCCCCAAGGCACCTGCCCTCCAGCCTTGCAACCCCATGTCCCCAGGACATACCCACAGTCTACCCAGCAGATGGTGCCTTGTCCTTTCACCGCCTGGGCCACAGTGGACAATAACCTGAGATGACTTTCAGCTGCGGCCTCTGTAAAAAAAACAAAAATTAAATGTCTGTGCCCAAGGGCACCAGGGCCACCCCTGCCACCTTTCCTCACAAGCAAGAGAGGGTGGCGCCAACCCTGGGGGAGTAAGGTCCTGAGGACGAGTTAAAACACAGTCTGGGCCCCACCTCACCCTCCTTTAAGCCACAGTCATCCTCAACTCCCAGTACAGCCTCTGACTCACCACCTTTCTAGCACACATTCTGACAATGCTATAACCAAACAATTCCAATTCTATAACCAAAGTAGGAAATGAGTTTGCTCCATACTAGTCTGCCTGGGTGCCTAAGCCAGGAGTTGAAGAGGGCAGGGGCCAGATCCTTCCTTAACCTGTGTATCGCACACTCATCCAGGGACTCAGCACAACTTAGTAATTAAATAACGTTTACTTGTGACACAGGCTCTGATGGAACAATGCCGAGTGTCCCCAGTTACATTTCATAGCCCACTTCCCAGAAGCCACAGAAGCCACGCTTGCAGCTCAGTTACAGAGCAGAGAACGATTCCTGGGGACAGGATGGAATGAACACAGGCAAGGAAGAGTTTTTCTGTGATCTAGGTGTCAATCCCTGTGGGCTTGGGTGAATCATCTGGAAAGGACCGTAGAAGGGCAGTTTCTTAGGGACAGCTCCTGTGGCCAGGATTTTAAACTGGCAGCTACAGTGGCCCTCTGCAGAGTAGTAAGGCCAGTGTGTCACATCCTGTCACACCTGTGAGCTCACTTGGAAGGGCAGGCAGACGCGTTGGGGAGCAGCCTGCCACCTCCCCCTGCCAAAAATCTAATAAGTCCTAAGCCAAGCAGAAATGATGTTTGGATTGTTTGCCTCCACAGATCTCCTTTCCTAGTGTGGCTAATGCTAGCTGTTTGTGAATATAAAGCATGCTGAGCCTTTCTTGGAAGGGAAGAAAAAGCATCCCTCAAGAGCAGTGCACAGTTACCCAAATGAGCGCCCCCACCAGGGCAAGGGGTACAGTTGAAGTGGGCAAGACCATGGCTCCACCACTCGGACTGGGCTGGGGAATGGCATTGAGGTAGAGGGATATGAAGCACCCCCTCCCCTATCCTGCCTTTCAGCTGCAGGTCACAGTCCTTGCAGCTGGGCTGGCAAGAGCCAGGAAGTAGGAAGGTAAAATCATCCTGGCAGGGAGAGGAGCCCAGCAAGGGAAAGCTGTGGGAGCTCCACAGGCAACAAAAGAGACAGGCTGGGTAAGGGCCAGAGGGAAAGTAAGAGCACCATAGCCCCACCCGACCCCCTCACCCTCACATCCCACTCTAACTTATCACAACCAAAGCCAGGTCTCAGGGCCCCTCCATCATTACAGAATAAAAAGATGCCTTCCTACCCTCCACCAGGGGAAGCACGAGGTGGAGGCAGCACAGGAGACAAGCTCTACCATCCACCAGCTGGCAGACGGCAGGCGAGTCTCTCTCAGCTTCAATTTCCTCACTTGTAAACTGAACAGTGTCTGACAACCTGCCCTGCGTCCTTCATGGCAAAGGAACAAATGAGAGAGTGTCACAGAAGAGCCTGGCAGAATTCTGATAAAATCATGAGCTTTCATATGACAGGACCCACCCAGAGAAGGTACCAGTGTCCTGACAATGACCCAATTCCAGGAGCATCTAAGGGGTAAGACATGCTGATTTAGGACCCTCACCCCAGGTCTCGAAAGCCACCCTACTTCTCCTTTGCCTCAGTGTCCCCTCTGTTCTGGACAGCAGAGAAATGCTAATAACATGGTAGGCTCACAACAACCACCCCAGGGAGTGCCAGACCCTCAGAAGGGCAAGGAGCAGCATGTCTGGAGGATGCAGGCTTCAGGAGGGACACACGTCCAAAACATCCATCAGCCCCCAGTGCCAATGAGTTTTGGGGATGAGTTGCCGGGAAGAGCTCTGCCCGGAACTGGCCCAGCCACAGGCTGCTGCTTCTCTGGGGTACAGAAAACTTGGCATCCTTGGGAGCAGCAAGAACACTTAACTCTGCTGGAACAACATCAACAGTCAGACTTTCACACTTGCCTGAAGTCTCAGCCAAGAGCGAGCAAATCTCTCTCCTTCCACTCTGCCCTCACCAGCCTCAAGGTCAGAAGAGGCAAGAATACTCCAAACTCAGCTTCATGTTCTGACCCCTGAGTAGGACAGACGGGGGCCAGGCAGGGCAGGGTTTGCCAGCTTGGGCGTGTGCCCTCACGCCAGGGACCAATTTAGCTGTTGACAGCCTGGCCCAGTCAGTTAATCAACAACTCTGGCGAAGTTTGCCCTGGCAGGGTTGGTCTGTGCCTGCTCAGGAAGCCAGAACATCCTTCCCAGAGCTCACTGTCCTCTGCTCTCTGTCACAGATGTCCTCTCCCTTTGGAGGTAGTGAGGGACTCCAGATGGCTTTTCCTATGAAATACTGGTCAAAGGGAACTAAAATGACCTCTTAGGAATCCAAAAGGGGAAGAACTAATGCCCCCTGTGCCTCTGCCCCTATTTTATGAGGAAAGCTGACAAACATGGTATCTGTTAAACCTCTGAGCGGTTTTGATCCTCAGGCGCTGCCTCCCACCTCTGCCTCCACTTCCTCCCACACCCAACTATCCCATCCCTGACTGAGGAGCCGAGACCCGGAGGGGCACTCACCAGATTTGGAGTAAAGCACCAGTACATTATTCCGGGTCCTGAGAAGTTTTTTCAAGTCCTTGGGGTCAGAGATTCTCTCGATGAGTGAGGAGACCTTTGTGGAGCACAGCCACATTGGCAGGACCACCTGGGAATCAAGGAAACAAGAACCATTAACTCCAGCTCCTGGCTGGGCCCGAGAAAAATTTGTGCCCACAGATGTGCTGCCTAGAGCACGTTTCACGTCAGAGTTATTCAGGACACACCATCTCAGGACACCACACTTAGCTTTCACTTCATCACATCATGCCCCACCCACCACCACCAACTACCCACCACCTCCCAGCCCACCTCCAGTCCCCATTTCACCCCTTCCCTTCAGGCACTTTTATGAGGTTATATGGACAGGCATGCTGCATAAACTTACTTGCCACTCATTCAACCAAGACCTCTCTAGAAGGTTTATACTCTACACCTCACCACAGGTACCGTACACTGGAGCTATGTGAAAACTCCATTCTACCTAGATGAACCAAAGCACAAAATCCTCAGAGAAAATCGCCTCTCAATGTTTAGGATGGGAATGTATGGGTGCGTTTTCAGTTTTTCCCACTCAGTCAAGTAATCTCAGGAGGCAGTCAAAAGTAGTGAGCCAATTCTCCCAGACAACATTGAAAGCCCTGGCACTAGAAGTACCAGGTATCTCTTCAGGCATAATGAGGGATAGGCTGAATGGGGGAGGGGTGCTGGGGGGTGGAGGGAGGGATATAGGGGTGGAGGCGGGGTGTACAGTTAAAAGCATTGTATGAGGAGCAGTCATAGCAGATTCCCTCACCCAGTACACACAGATGGTCAATGCTCCCTTGCCAGGATGGCAGAAAACATGGAGGTAACTTCAGGGAGAGACTGAATAAGAAAAATTCTACTGGGTTGGGAGTGTGGTCCAGAGAGAACAAGAGGATTTAGGGAAAGTCTACAAATTGAATGAGTTCACCCACCCCACCTAAGCCCCGCCTCCAGCATCTCCCTTCCCTTTTCTAGAAGGCTGCCAATTCTATTCCCCCAGGCAAAAGAGTGGGGAATTCTTCTCTGGGGAAACTAAGGGACACAAAAAAAACAAAACAAAACACAGAAACACAATGATTTGAAGACAGTCCAATGAAACAGATGAGTACCCATTCAAATACCCACTGTAAGATCCTCCCAATAAACAGGTGCCCTCACTCCCTCTATACACTCAGTCTTCCTGTGATCATTCATGTAGACAGATGACCATGCTCACCAGATATCTGAGGAAAGTCCTCAACACAAAAGACACAGATGCAAACAACCAAGGGAAAAATTAGAACTTAGAAGAAAAAGAACAGAAGGAAACAACAAAACTATAATTATTATCCTCAGAGAAATGAAATAGTACATTCATAAAAACAGTAATAGCCTGCTATGAAAAAGCAGTAGTTAAAGAGAATCAGTTACAACTTTTGAAAAGTAAAACTCTCATGAAAACTAAACATTTAAATAAGATTGAAAGTAGAATTGTAAAAAAAAAAAAAAAACCTTCAGAAAATACTAAGAAATAAAAAACAGGAGAAAAAAAGAAAAGGAATTTAAAAGATACATTCATTAGGCACAAGAGTCAAATTAAAGGAACTCCAGAAAAAAAGAAATTATCAAAGAAATAATTCAAGAAAATATTCCAGAATTGAAGGATATGAGTCTCCAGTTGAAAAGGACCAACACCATGAATAAGAAAAGATTTTCACCAGCGTACATCACTGAAAATTTCCAGAACACTACTGACAAGGAGGAGATTTTGAATGTTTCAAAGGAGGAAAAAAAAAACCCCAAAACACCCCATACAAAAGACAGGAGGCAGAAGCAGCAAGGTTCTTCATCAGTATACCAGAAAGCAGTATTTGCTTCACAATTCTCAAGCAACATGATTTCCAACTAAAATTCTATAACCAGTTAAAGCACCTATCAATTGTGATTAGAAATTTCCTCAGTCTTAAGACCTCAGAGGAGAAAAATTCATTTACCAACAATATACCCTTTCTCGAGAAACTACTAGAACTAATGCTCTACTAAGACAAGAACAAATTAAAAAATGAGAAAGACATGGAACCCAGAAAAAAAGTATCCAACAGGGAGATGCAGGAGAATCACTATGATAATGCTGAAGAGAAGACAAAGGGCAAGTGTTCTGTAGCCAACAGAGCAGTTAGCCCAGAAAGGTACAATGACAGCGGGTTGTGGAATAATACAGTTAAGACAAAGTGACAACTATAGTTTATCTGAAATGCTTGATTATATTGAAAGTAGTTTTAATTTCTGCCAGAAAAGTTAAAAAAAGAAATTAAACAATCTGACTACAGTAACGCAGCTAACAAGTAGCGGGGCCAACATCTGAACCCCAATTTCTCTAATTCAACCCCTGTGCCCGCTCAGGCCACTGCCTCTTTGCAGGCAGAAGTCTTGGGTTGAGTCTGAGCTCTCCCACTCAATAACCTCAGCAACATCACTCACTTCAACATCACTTGTAGATGTTAGTGCCTCAGATCTGATATGGAGATAATAATACCTCAGGCCTCATGGGACTGTCGTGAGGATGAAATAGGATAACTTACCGAACATGCTTTATAAATCAGGAAGCATTCCAATAACATCAGTTATCATAAAATATTACACATTTCCATCTCAGCAGAGAAGACAGAAATGTGGTCATATTCTAATGTTTCTAAATATAATCTCTTGGGATTCAACGGTTTCTTCTCTCCAGGGTAAAACCACCTAGGAGGAGGCGTCATGAAATTATTTCTCCATTCTGCCCTACCGGAGCTGTGTACAATGCCACTGCCCTCATGTAGCCCCCTTCAAGCACTCACCAAAAAGTTCATTCTGTTTTATTATTACATGTTATTCCATTGCTCCCAGGGAGCTAATGGACTTCAGACTAAAAATTACCATAGCTCAGTGCACACGATTAAAGACAAAAAGACAAGAATCTGCTGCAAAACACATTTGAATCTGCTCTATTTTTAATCCTCAGATAATCTGACCAGTTGAGAAAAACAACTGCCCTTGCCCAGTGCCTCAGGACTCTGACCAGCACACCAACCCTCCTGAGACTGGCAGGTATCCGGGGAGAAGGATCAGAGAAGGGCAGCCGGGTGGGCCAGTGCCTACCTGCCCAGGCAGCTCTGTGGCATGTAGCTGAGCCACAGCAATAGCAAAATGTCTACAGCAGAAACCACAAAAGCCTAGTCTCACAGCATAACCACAGCTTCCTTCCTATAAACCAGTGAATATCTCAGGTCATCTAACCTACAGCCATCTTCAGAGTAAACAAACCACTCTTGAGCCAGCTACCAAAGCCTCTGACCTAACATATACCCTCACAGCTAAGAACCTAAGCCACTTAAGATACACTGAGCAAACTGACTTTGCTTGAACACCTGGCATGATGATAGGGCTTAAACTGAGCACCGCCAGCAGCGGGCCTGGTTTAGAGCTCTTATGGAAGGCCTGTCTTCTCCTCACCCACCCCCATCCCCATCCCACCACCTAGACAAAGCACAGGAGGGTAGAGCCTAGCATAACATCTGGCCCCTTGAGTGCCCTCAGCAAATGTCTGTCCAGCAGTCACCATGACATATCACACTGGTCGCCAACCTCTCATCTCTGTGGAGGTCACCACTACTAGCACCATGTTACAAGGTGAGTCCAAAGCAGCTCTCAGGAGACCCAAAGGGAACACCAAAACCAGAAAGACTGCAGCACAGCAAAGCCTGGCTTGTAGGTAGTGGGCAGGTGTGTAGGGCCTAATCCAGGTCTTGAAAGCCTGGCTCAAAAGTCATCTGGCCATGACTTCAGATGGGGCAGTCACCAGGGGGACTGGAGGTAGAGGGACCAGCTTGGAAGCTGCCCAAGTGGAGAGAAGTGGATCAATCCAGAACCTGAGGGAAAAATAACAGAATTCAGTGATTATTCACATGTAAGCAATGAAAGAAGAGAGAAGAGGCTAACGAGACTCCAAGGATTCTGGGCAGAGAGCAGAAACAACAGCAATAAATGGGAAAGCATGGAAAAGCAGCAGCAGAAGAGGATTCTACTTCGTGTCGAGGAAGATGACAAGCACAGGTGTGCATGTGTGGACTGTGAGACACCCCAGTACAGGCATCCTTCCAGGCCAGAGAGCAAGGTTCAGAGGGTGAACCAAGGCCTAGCTGGAGGAGGAGGGAGGAGGGGGGAGAAGGAAGGAGGAAGAGCAGGAAAGAGAAGATGGGAAGTGCTGTGTCAACACAGACCACAGCGGAGACACACAGAATAGGCGGCAATCGATCCACAGGCAAAGGCTGGGGCAGAGTCCCCAGGGACATTCTGAGAGCATTTTAGTAGCATGAAGGAGGGGTACAGCGAAGAGAAAGCACACCCCACGGGGCAGCTGGGGGGAAGACAGGAAGAAGCGCAGGCAGCCCGGCAGGGTCAGGAGAAAGATGGGCTGTCTCTCCTGAACCCAGGGGAGTCACGTGAACACGTGTGGTCACAGAAGAAGCAGGATTTGCCTAGAAAGGCAGGGTTGGGAGATTTGGAATGGAGAGGGGAGAAGTAGGATCCAGGGGGATCCAGGGTACTTGGTGTCCAAAGAGCTAAGATGCCAGGCTTAGCATCCCTGAGAAGGGGGAGGATGTTTGGTCTTGGACAGACCCTCACCTTAGCAAGCAACCACAGGGCCAGCTAAGAGGGTAGCCCCCTCCTCCCTCCCCTAAGCCCAAGGGGACTCTCCTCCAGCCCACTTAACATTCTTCTTTCTCCTCCACTTGAGTCTATTTTAACCTTTCCCGTGTGCACGCTCCTTCCTCCTCTGAAATGCAGTGAGCCTTGGGTAGCCTCACCAGGCACCTTCCTGTAGACTTCGTAGGTCACAACCCACAAACCTTGATGACAACAGTAACCGCTGCAACAATAACAACATTTAATGGTGCACAAACTCTCTGCTCCTTTGTCAAGCCCTCAGGGAGAAGCGGGCAGTGTTTGAGAAGTACTCTAAAGCCAAGTCACCTTCCAAGCTCACCCTGGAACTGTTCCTGGGCTTGGCAGCCTCTTTACATTCTAAGTCATTGTTTGGACATAAAAAGTGAAAAAAAA